AAAATTTGCGATTTATTGTTATACAAAAAATTCGAAAATTTTATTAATCCGCAGATATATCGATAGAATACACATGAATATAGATTTGTTTTTTATTCCCAGAACTTCCTGAAGTAGTGCAAGAAGTGTACACTAAAGCGTTTTCTATTTCTGGGGGTCAATCATAACTTTTCTCCTAGGGCGGAAATGTGAAAAGTTTCACGTGAACTTACACTCATGTACGATTTTACGGGATCATGTAACTCTCTCAAACGTGAAAATATGAAATTTTTCACGTGAACTTTTTCGCTATGTACCTTGATGGCGGAAAGGCGGTAATCTAAAGGCGGAGGGAATTAATAAATTAATTATATGCTTCGGAATTAGAGAAGATTAGGGCTGCGTTAGGATTAAGTGTACGTAGTACATATACAATTGGTTATTAAAAGATGTATATAATACTGTACCAATAAAATAATTTTCATTAGCTATAAAACCTATGAAAACTATGTTTCATGATTTCACTTTCCACGCATCCAAGCTACATACATAATCGCTGTACATGAAAAGTTTCACGTAAAATGTCAAGGTGTGAAAAATGAAAAGTAAAAAGTGAAAAATGAAAAATTTCACGTAAAGTTACATGATTGATTCCCTGAAATGACAATGATACTGTTTGTTATTTCAGTGCGACAGAACTTAATGCGAATTCACTGAACTGGCTGCACTGGATTTAGAGTCAGTACAAGCAGTGTAGGGCAAACGAAGTTCAAACAGTAGCGGTAATTTTGAACATCATAAAATATTAATTAGTAAGTATGAAAATAGAAAATTTCTTAGAGTAAATTTCAGTGTTTCATTGATATTGTTTATATATTTTAATACATAGTACTTGAGATATGCAAAAATAAAATTATAAGTATTCACTGTTTAGAAAATAGTATTCATTAAATATTACATTTATAGAAAATTTGTAGATTAGAAAGTCGGACGCTAATGCACAATAATTAATAATATTATATATAAATATTATATATCTGTTTTTAAATTTATATTTACTGTTTAATGTCTTATAAATGCTTGAAATTTTTTTGAAGTTATTTTTTCTTATTACAAAGATTTTATATTATATTAAAATTTGATTTATGTTGTGGCGATTATATCGTCATGATTCTCATGACACATTTTTTTCGGTAATATATTTCTATTTGGATTTCGCCGAATTATCTATTCTCAGAGAATCGCACTAAATACACGCAAATACGAAGGCGTTGCATGTATTCAATATCAGCTTAATAGATTTATTTTCTATATTCTCTTGTAATAATTTCTTTTTATATTGTTTGGAACTAGATATATATTCCATGATTATTATCTTTAAGTTTTTATAATACCGAATTCCTGCGGGTTGAAAACATAATTCGAAACGTTTAATGTTTAATAAGACAATAGATAAGATACAAACAATAATAGCAAAAAGGTTCTCCTTCAAAACTGTATTTGTTTGTAAAAATTAAGATATTTGCTATTTAAGAATAATCTCGAAGGAGAAAAATACAGGGAAGACAGCTGATACGGAATAATGGACGAGGGATACGACTGACGGCACAGTATAAGTAGATTCATTCAATTATCCGTGAAATGGTTGTCACTCGCGCATGACGGAAATGCACACTCAACAATATGGCGGTTCAAAGAAATCGTACATATTATGATGTAGAAAGGTGTACCTGTGACGTCCCATCGTTTTTTTTTTCATTTTATTATATTGCCAAACTGACAAATATTTATTTTTGAATATTAAAAGCGTCACATCTTTTTCCGACTGATGAAGTAGTCACAATAAATAAAACTACTTTTGTTCATTCTAACTTTTATTTTGTTTATACATGGCCTCTTGAGGACAGCAATCAATAATAATAACAATACAAAATAATATAATAACTTGATTTTGGACAATATTATAAGCTCTTACCATTAAAAGTTCGGAAGTAGTTTATCTTATTATCGATAGATGTCTTAGGGAGTTAGTTATTGTAGGCTCAGTTCCTTTTTCTTTTAGCGATCCCTCCCTATATAAGTTGTGTACGTTATGGCGTAGAGAGAGCGAATTTACGAACGCTTTGGCGCGATTTCGTCCCTTTTTGGTTTCGAAGATAGAGAGCCTTGGTACAGCTCTCGGGCAAGACATCTCGAACCCGCTTTTACATATATTGTAATATCCGCACAACACCTCAAGACAATAAAATGCTATTGAATTTTCTTAACGCCAGTGAGTTGAGTAATTACCCTCTCCTCCTATTGGCCTGGTGACCATACGCACACAGGAGGCACGAACGACGACACTGTTCACGCCGGCCATATTAAGATATCTTCTACCTACATTATCATATGGCCTATAAATGTCGCATGAACAGAGTTTCCTATATACTAGATAGATAGATAGTTCCTCACAAATTCAACAGATGGCCTGAAATTTGATTTCACTTTAAGACGATGCTGAACTTGTATTACCAATAAAACGCAATAATTTTTGTATTGCTCTAATTTCTTATTAACTTTATAGATTTGGAAATCCTTTTCCACAATTAACGTTTATGCATTAATACGTGTTTAACATATGAATTTCGTATCAAGAATAAGAAAAATTTTAAAATTTAGATCTTTTTTACCATTTGGTACCTTAAAATGGCGTCCAAAGCACCTGTGTGAAGATAGCCGCCCAACATTGAAAAACATAAAGTTTCTATAGCTCATTCGATTGCTCATCGTTTGCACATGTATGCACATTTCGAATTTTCGTTTGCACACTTCTAGTAAAAAAGTTATTAACAAAACAAATTTCGGGGGGCCACTTCACACTAGCCCCCCAACTATGAGTAAATTAAATAAAAAATAGCTCATTGATAGATATTCGCTTGCACATTGCCAAACAGCTCGATTTTTCGTTTGCACACCTCTAGTTAAAAAGTTATTAACAATTAAAGTTTCAAAAGCGAGCGACTTCGGCAGATGAAATAGAAACAAGAATATTGTGCTTAAAATGGTATTATTCG